CACCAGTAGGGGGCGGAAGGTATAATTAGTTTCTAAAACACAAATACTTTATTACTATGTGTAGGCAAACATTACCAATTGTTTAAGAGATATAACTGCCTAACGTTTGTATTTGGAGGTTTTTTGAAAGCTGCAGAATCTAAATACGACACCAAAGACACCATGATACGTATACATACACAAACACGGATCATTTGAGCAGCGCATTTGGGACAATCGTTGAAGGCGGACCCCGGCCCGAAGTTATTCTATAAAGTAGGCGAGCAAGCAGAGCTTACAGTGTACATGTGTATCCTTTTTCGTGGAAATTGCACTTAGTAATACAACGCAACACACCCGATACAAGACGACACAAGGGAGCATGGAGATATGCATGCTGAGAATTGCACTATGGAGCAGAAAGAGGAGCAAAATAATAATAAAATAGCTTTTTTTAATTTTACCAAGTAAGGCCCACTTAGCTATGTAGCTCTTTTAACAGAAGCGACCTGGCCACAAATGATAGCTCAACAAAGTGGCTTATCAAGTGAGAATGTAAACGCGTGATTTAATTTTCGATTTAAAGCTTTCGTGACTGCATGGATTCATCTTCTTGGTTCTTTCGGTAAAGTCACGTAGAAGGGAAATAATAAAATAATAATAAACTAATATTTTATTATGTTTTATTTGTATTATTTTATTTTTTTCCCTTCTACGTGACTTTACCGAAAGAACCAAGAAGATTAACGCGTGATGTTGATCTAAAACGTGGAGGGAAAAACTGGAGGACCCAGAGAAAAATCCACGCGACCACAGGCAGAGAGAGAGACGCGCACACTCCAAATATACAGCAGCAGCAGCAGGCGTCAGGGTCGGAGATCGAACTCACGATCTCCTGTAGACCAGGCGAGGTAGTTAACATCTCCTAGCCACCGTGATGATGATGAGAGAGAGACGCGCAAATTCCAAATATACAGCAGCAGCAGGCGTCAGGGTCGGAGATCGAACTCACGATCTCCTGTAGACCAGGCGAGGTAGTTAACATCTCCTAGCCACCGTGATGATGATGAGAGAGAGACGCGCACACTCCAAATATTCAGCAGCAGCAGGCGTCAGGGTCGGAGATCGAACTCACGACCTCCTGTAGACCAGGCGAGGCAGTTAACACCTCGCCACCGCGATGCCCCATTGATAACCGACCGCTGTTGACAGAACACCGATCGACGAGCGTCACGACGTTGACAATTAAAGAGGGATAAACATGGGGGAGAGATGGAATTTCTGGTCGAGTCTACGAAATCGCTGACGGAATGGCAGCCAAAGTCGGGAATCACCCCGATTGCGGGACGAAGAGGAATGGTGACGAGACGGGGATGCCTTCATCCAGCAGCGGATTGTCTTGTGTTTGCGTGTGTGTGTGTATGTTTGTGTTTGTGTGTGTGTATGTATGTGTGTGTGTTTGCGTGTGTGTTTGCGTGTGTGTGTATGTGTGTGTGTTTGCGTGTGTGTATGTGTGTATGTATGTGTGTATGTGTGTGTTTGCGTGTGTGTGTATGAGTGTGTGTGTTTGCGTGTGTAGTGGGGAGCGGTAGTGTAGCGGTTAGCGCGCTGCGCTATGAACCTGGCGACCCGGGTTCGATTCCCGCTCACGGCTAACACCAGTGACGATTATCTGAACCGGTCCTGGGCCTCCCCTAGGTCGACTCAGCCTTAAATGAGTACCTGGTGCGGTGTGTAAACATCGCCACTAGGGAGACAAAGGCGGTCGGGCGTGGTGCTGGCCACCCACCCCCTCGTGTACCGTTCCGGCCTTCATAGGTGCTCGCTAACAGCACTTGCCCCTACAGTCTGTTCAGGCTATACGGGGGATCTTTGTCTTTGTGTTTGCGTGTGTGTATGTGTTTGTGTTTGTGTGTGTGTATGTGTTTGTGTGTGTATGTGTTTGTGTGTGTATGTGTTTGTGTGTGTATGTGTTTGTGTGTGTATGTGTTTGTGTGTGTATGTGTTTGTGTGTGTATGTGTTTGTGTGTGTATGTTTGCGCGTGTGTGTATGTGTGTATATATGCGTGTGTGTGTGTGTGGGGAGCGGTAGTGTAGTGCGCTGCGCTACCCTCCGACCCGAGTTCGATTCCCGCTCATGGACAACACCAGTGACATTTATCTGAACGGGTCATGGGCCTACCCTAGGTCGATTCAGCCTCAAATTAGCACCTGGTGTGGTGTGTAAACGTCACCACTGGGGATACAAAGGCGGTCGGGCGTGGCGTTGGCAACCCACTCCCTCGTGTGCCGTGCTGGCCTTCATAGGTGCTCGCTAACAACACTTGCCCCAACAGTCTGGTCAGGCTATACTGGGATCTTTGATATTTCAGAACTGTATTGTTTGCATGAATTAAATTAGATATTTACTGATTCTGCAGTGGTGTACAAATACAGATCTGTGGCGTCGTCATATACTGTGAAGGTCCGTTGCCCGAAACGTCGCCGATTATACACTTTCATGCAGCCGTCCATAAATGACGTCACGTACCTAGGGGGGGAGGGGGTCAGACATTTGTGACGATGTGTGACGAGGGGGGGGGGTTGAAAAATGTGACGTCACATCAAAATGCGTAACTTTAAATAAATATAGACAACACGTTCTACTTAATTAAATAGACTTTTTAATACATGTTTTTTTCCTACAACATCAGAGCGCAGCGCCACATTAAATACGCACTACAATGACAATAGTTTAAAGCGATTTGAAGCATGTTCTGTTTTTGTGGGGGTGGGAGTGGGGGCAGAGTTTTGTGACGTTATGTTTGAGAGTGGGTCTGACTTTTTGTGACGCCGTGACGACGGGGGGGGGGGGGGGGGGTTCAAAAATCGTCCAAAATCGAGTGACGTCATTTATGAACGGCCCCCATGTATTTTGCCCACCCATTGTTATTGACGAGTGCGCTGAGTTTTGTTGTACACTTTTGCACGAATGTGTGCGTGTGTGTTGGGGCGCGTGAGCTCTTATCCAGCAGCATCTCTGAATGCCGTCACAGCCCACCACGAGGTGGGTAGCCAGCACCACGCCCGGCCGCCTTTGTCTCCCCAGTGCTGATGTTTATACCTAGCGCTTTGTCTCTCGAGTGAACTTATAACGCATCGCCCCAGGTATTTATTTGAGGCTGAGTCAACCTAAGGGAGGCCCAGGTCCGGTTCAAATAATCGTCACTGATGTTGACCGTGAGCGAGAATCGAACTCGTCCTGACCTTCTGTTCAGGTCAAAACGGGAGGGGGGGGGCAGCCTTTGTACCCACGTGTGCCCACGTGTGTCCACGTGTGCAGGTACGCATTTGGGGAGCGGTGGTGCAGCGGTTAGCGCGCTGCTCTACGAAGCCGGCGATCTGAGTTCGATTCCCACTCACGGTCCACACCAGTGGCGATTATCTGAACCGGTCCTGGGCCTCTCCTAGGTCAACTCAGCCTCAAAATTAGTACCTGGTGCGGTGGTGTAAACATCGCCACTGGGGAGACAAAGGCGGCCGGGCGTGGTGCTGGCCACCCACCCCCTCGTGTGCCGTGCCGGCCTTCATAGGTGCTCGCTAACAGCACTTGCCCCCACAGTCTGTTCCAGCTATACGGGGCATCTTTGTCTTTTATACGCGTGCACGCGTACACGTGCTTACGAATTGCACGTAGCAACGTGCGCGTGCAATGGGAGCGGAATGCGTGGCATCACTGAACACACCCGGGGTGGATGGGGGGGGGGGTGTAGGATTGGGCACGAGTATGGCGAAACAGGTGCGGTGTCTGGGAGAGAGAGAGGGGGGAGGGGGGGAGGTGATGGGGGGGGCAAAGGGGATACAAAGACGGACGGGGATCGAATTTTCCTCGCAGCACAATCATCTCCGGCTCCGGGGCCGACAATCGGATTAAGGCGCCGTCCGTCTCGACCATCGACCGCGGTGGTGGAGCCGGAGCGTGAGTGGCTTTCCCAATCCGAGAGAGAGAGAAGGGGGGGGGGGAGAGGGGGGGGAGAGGGGGGGGGGAGAGAGGGGGGGAGAGGGGGGGGGAGAGGGGGGGAGGGGGGGAGAGGGGGGGGAGAGGGGGGGGAGAGGGGGGGGAGAGAGGGGGGGGGAGAGAGGGGGGGGAGAGGGGGGGGAGAGAGGGGGGGGAGAGAGGGGGGGGAGAGAGGGGGGGAGAGGGGGGGAGAGAGGGGGGGAGAGAGGGGGGAGAGAGGGGGGGAGAGAGGGGGGGGAGAGAGGAGGGGGGAGAGAGGGGGGAGAGGGGGGGGGAGAGAGGGGGGGGGGAGAGAGGAGGGGGGGGGGAGAGAAGGAGGGGAGAGTTGGGAGAGATGGAGGGGAGAGTGGGGAGAGAAAGAGGAGAGAAGGGGGGGTGAAGGGCAAACGTAGCGGAGAGAAAGGGGAGAGTGTGGAGAGAGTTGTAGATAAAGCGGGGATAATGGCGAGAGAAGGGGTGGGGGGAGCGCAGGAGTGGGGTAGTAGTAGTAGACATGGGAGAGAGAGAGTGAGACGAGAGGAGAGAGCGGGGAGAGTGGAGGGGGAGGGCTTGTCTGGTTAGAAACACGGTACACGGGGAGAGATGGTGGGGAAAAAAGGAGAGAGGGGAGGGTGAAGGAAGAGAGGGGGCGGTAAAGCGAGCTCACAGTCTCCCTCTCCCCGACGCTCCATATTACATTTGCAGTGTCAATTCCCCCCTACCCCATCCCCCCCCCCCCACATGATGCACCCACCTCTGTGTGTGGGACGGGGATGGTGGCCGAGTGGGAGGGGCTGTGAGATAGTGGGAGGGGCTGGAGGGAGGGAGGGGATCTAACGGGATGGGCTCCCAGAAACATCGTGGCTTGACGAAAGGAAGGGAGCCTTGATTTTAAGTTTTCGTGACTGCATGAATCCATACTCTTCGGTTCTTTCGGTAAAGTCACGTAGGTAGGAAATAAATCACGACGTTTCGGACGCTTGTGTTGCGCCCGAAACGTCGTGATTTATTTTATTTTTCTACCCACGTGACTTTACCGAACGAAACAAATAGTACGGATTCCTGGAGTCACGAAAGCTTCAAATCAAGATATTTTCTTATTGTTTGTTGCTGTAGTAACGTTTTGACCTGCTACCTGTTAAAAACAGCTTACAGATAATCGGATTCTTCCAGTATAAATACATATTCTGATTCTTCTGAACCCAAGGATATCGATGACTGTGCTTGCTCAATATCTCTTGCGTGGGTTTAACCCCCCCCCCCCCCACACCCCCCCCCTCGGGATAGAACAAGGTCCTCACTTGTTCCTTAAGCAACGTTCCCGGTTTATTTATCAAGCGTGGCACGAGGCAGTGAATGGGGGGAGGTGATTAGTGTTGGGGGGGCACTTTCCAATGAACCCAGCGACCCGAATTCGATTGGCGATCGTTGCGAAACTATCAGCGGCGCGACTGACCCGCTCCTGGGGCATCTCTCTCCTTCGACAACCGGGGCCACTGAGCGCTTATTGCATCAAAAACTGCAGTGATGGCAGCAGCAATGGTTGATATTAGAATGGGCTCGCAAATATGTCGCATTCCGCGCAAACAACGGCAGATGCTGATTACCTGATGCACGAATGGAAAATAAAAATTAAACTCTGCAGCAGTGAGCGACTGTGGTCATCCAGGACAGAGCGGACAACTTACAACGCGACGCAATGCCCGATGCACAGACACGAAGGAGACGTCACGGCGATGAAGCACTCCGCTTAATCCGGGCTTGACCCCAACGTGAATGTGAAATTGTCGTTGTTGCTCCGCGATCTGCATGAGCAGCCAAACGAATGAAGAAGACGAAGTGAAAACGTGTGTAGGTACGAGATTTAGAGCCGAGTAATCAGCTGCACGTGGTGAGCTGCACCCCCCCCCCCCCGCGTCAACTCCGCCCCCTTTTGCAGAAGAGCGCCAATTGCTCAGGTAGCCCCGCCCCTTCCTCCATCCCCCCCTCCCTCATTCCACCTTCCCCATCCCTCCAACTTCCCCATCCCTCCACCTTCCCCCACCCTCCACTCCCCCTCCCACAAACTCCCCCTCCCACAAACTCCCCCTCCCACAAACTCCCCCTCCACCCCCCTCCCTCCACCTCCACCCCCCCTCCCTCTACACCCCTCCCTCCCCCTCCACTCCTCCTCCCGCCACCTCTCCCCACCACTTCCCCTCCCTCACCTCCCCCTCTACTCCCCCTCCATCCCCCTCCACCCCCTCCCTCCACCTCCACCCCCCTCCCTCCACATCTCCCCTCCAACCCCCTCCCTCCCTCTCCCTCCCTCTCCCGGATTTGTCGTGTACCGAGCATTAGCCAAGACATTTAAAACCGATCTTCACCAAAAAGCTTTATCGAGTCGGTGGTGGGTGAGTGGGCGGGTACCGGGATAGTCTTTGACTATATACTCGACATCATCTACAACTATGACCGTATTCTCCAGAATGTCGCAGTTTTCCCCACTGTTTTCAGTCCAACAATTGTGGGCGCTCTTATAATCCGGTGTGCGTGTGTGCGTCCAGATTTGTTGAACTTGACTCACACCGTGGCATACGGTTTTGGGGGTGCGTCTTACTTTCCGGAGCGTCTCATGATCCGGCGAACGCGTGTGCCCCTGTATCCCATGTCGTGGCCTGGGCATCTCAAGCAAACCGAGAGAGGGAGAGAGAGAGAGAGAAGCCGTGGCACTAGAAGCCTCGTAGCCGGCCACAAGGTGTCGTTTGGAACATGCGTAGGAGACCGCCCATTCTTCTCTGTGAACTTGGCTAACGGGAAGAGGAGGAGGAGGGACGGATGATGATGATGACTACGGCGGTGTTGGGTGCTAGGCGGGTGGCCGTGGGAGGGGATACGAAGGCTGCAGCCGAAGAAAGCGATAAGAAGTGTCTCATTCATATCGCTCACATCCGCCGTTGGGGTTTGTGTGTTGTGCCCCACACTTGCGTGTGTGTCCGACGTTTCGCTCCACCTGCTGGTATCTTCTTTAAAACTACAAAAAAATTAAACATTGACGTCATTAAGGGCAGTAAGAAGACGCATGAAGCTCCTAGCATGTGGAGGGAAACGTCGGACAACATGCCGAACAAACGCATGGTACAACACGAAATCTAATCTCAAGTTCGACTCAACTCATCATCCCACTGGGGCCGATACAATACTCTCAACTATGTATGCGGAAGTCAACAGTGGATAATGTACCGAGAGGTAAAATCGCTCCCGCCATAGGAATGTGGAATTTCCACTCCGGGCTCAGAGCTGGAGAAAGGAGATGAGCAATGGATTGAAATGCTCATTTCGACCAAGACGTCACTTTCAGTAGCTTTAGAGTAGCAATTTAGATCATGCTTGGATGGGTGGCCAACATACACATACAAGTGGCCATTCGTTTGTGGGGAGATCTAGATCTTAAGTTTTCGTGACTGCAATGATCCATACTCTTTAGTTCTTTCAGTAAAATAACGTCGGTACAAAATAAATAATTTATTAAACAAACAAACAAAAATAGTGTGCCCACTACAGCAATTTGTTTCTTGCTGTGGCTGTCCCACCTGATGACGGAAGCTTGCGTTGCTTCCGAAACGTCGTGATCTAAATATTTTTTGTTTAATTTTTGATGTCTTTTATTTTATACCGACGTGACTTTACCGAAAGAACTAAATAGTTGTGGGGAGATGCTTTGGGCAGCAGAGAGCAGATTGACAAAATCGATTATTGTGCTGTACGTCTATGATGCCGTCGAAACCAACCCGGCACAGACGAGCGTGGTCAAATAACCCCCACGATCCGCGCGGCGCGGAAAGAGCATCACTCAGCAGTGGATGTATCGTCACATTGATCACACGCGTGGATGTGTGCGCCATTGGAACACACGCAAGTTCAAAGACATCACCGTTGATCGTTAAGAAATGTGGGCTCGGGGAAGGACACATCGTGGTGAGAAGGGGAATGGGGTGCGCAAACGCCGCTCGAGACTGATTATGACAACGGAGTGGCCGCCAAGGACGTGAAGAACACCGAGAGAGATGGTGGCACGAAATCGGATCTGTGTTGAAGTCGATGGGTAGATATGTTACAAATCGGGACCGTGAGCGCCGTAGCGATCATCCAGCAGTGGAATGACCATGGCCGACGATGATACGGGTGGCAACGTCTTGAACGCGAGTTAGCGGCGGCAAAAAATTATGAACGGCGAAGGTGAAGGAGGAAATCTCACGTAAGAATAAATGAGCCCTAATTGTCTTCACCTGGAGAGGCAACGCATTACGATGTAATGCCACCGCGCCTTAATTGGCGGCACATTCAATATTTAACTATTTCATTTGCTTGCTTCTCGGGTAATTGCTTTTAAAATTATTACGAATTACCGTAGCCTCTGGATTGCAACACCCACATTTCCCTCCTGTATTGTAAAGCAAAGGTTTTGCGGGCGCGTCTTATAATCGTGTGGGTGCGCGCGTTTTAACAATGGGGGGAGCGGTAGTGCGTTGCGCTACGAACCCGGCGAGCCGAGTTCGATTCTCGCTCACGGCCACAAACACCGGGTGACGTTAATCTGAGCCGGTCCTGGGCCTCCCCTAGGTCGACTTAGCCTCCAATGAGTACCTTGTGCGGTGTAAACATCTCCATTGGGGAGACAAAGGCGGCCGGGCGTGGTTGGTGGAAACCCACCCCCTCGTGTGCCGTGCCGGCCTTCATAGGTGCACGCTAACAGCACTTGCCCCTATCAGTCTGTTCAGGTTATATGGGGGATCTTTGTCTTGTGTGTTAACAAATTTTCATAACTTTATTGACACCGGGCACACGATGTGGACGTGCTTCGTGTTTATTCGGAGACAATTAAACTTGTTTTTGATATCGTTTAAGAAAAAATGTTTCGGAATAATTTGCGTGCGAGAAAAGTCACGTAGAAGGGAAATAATAAAATAATAAAAATTTTACATAATAAAATAATTCTCACGACGTTTCGGCCACAACGTAAGCAGCCGTCCTCAGGTGAAGAACAGGTCTGTCGGGAAGACAGCGTCTGAATGAAACACCCCAGGCTTGGAGCGTATATTTAAGCTGGGTTGGAGGGGGAAGAGCGCCTTGACAAAAGAATTTGGATATCAATTTGCATATTTTGTCAAGGCGCTCTTCCCCCTCCAACCAGCTTAAATATACGCTCCAAGCCTGGGGTGTTTCATTCAGACGCTGTCTTCCCGACAAACCTTTTCTTTACCTGAGGACGGCTACTTGCGTTGTGGCCGAAACGTCGTGAGAATTATTTTATTATGTTTTATTTTTTATTATTTTATTATTTCCCTTCTACGTGACTTTACGGAAAGAACCAAGAAGATGAATCCATGCAGTTACGAAAGCTTTAAATCGAAATTTGCGTGCGAGTGCCAAATCAATAGGACGCGGCGCATTAAAAAAAATTTCTATCTCACGGAGTCTGCATGCCAGCTGTTTCGAATGGAAATTCCCATAGCGACAATCGGAACCAAACCGAAAACATCTGTGCAATGTTCGCATTAAATACGCTGAACTTACAGCGATGACAACGTTGTAATTGGCTTATCATTTTAATACCGCTCCTAATTAGGGCATATGCTCTACAATTAAAAACGAGCGTCGCCGTTGAAACCTGTTGATATGCGTTGCCATTCGAGGGGAGATGGAGGGTTAATTACCTAATCTCTCAATGAATATATCCGGAAATGCGCAAGGCTGCCTCGAGAAGTCAGGATTATCCGCTTGAAGCACTCCCAACCGCGAGAGGACATTGTTTGCGTCGCTCCGTAATCATATCTATATTTCGATTTAAAGCTTTCGTGACTGCAGGGATTCATCTTCTTGGTTATTTCGGTAAAGTCACGTAGAATGGAAATAATAAAATAATAAAAATAAAACATAATAAAATAATTCTCACGACGTTTCGGCCACAACGCAAGCAGCCGTCCTCAGGTGAAGAACAGGTCTGTCAGAAAGACAGCGTTGTGGCCGAAACGTCGTGAGAATAATTTTATTATGTTTTATTTTTATTATTTTATTATTTCCATTCTACGTGACTTTATCGAAAGAACCAAGAAGATATATCTATATTATTAGCATTAACACGTGGCAGGCTTTCGCGACCAATATTATTCATAATCAACGTTTTTGGGTTTAGATCGCGTTATTTATAAATGTGTCGTAACCCTCCACCACCCGACACGACCAATCAGCAAAAAAAGTGTCACGTTGACAAAAGACAAATAGTTCACTGCTTTAGCCTACCGGTGTGTTGAAGCGTGAAACCACAACATTTTCGATTTTCGAGTACGACGTTTCGCTGGTAATTGCATCCAGCATCATCGGGCAATTCTGGCTTCAGTCGTTTGAATTTGACGGTTTATTCGTTGCATGGGAAAATCCCGTTCAGCCAGTCGCCCAGCTAGCTTCGGCGGCGAACGGCCCGCAGCTACCAGAAGAGTTATTGTTTTATAGGGGTAGAGAGAAGCACAGCCAGCAGCCAGCCGGAAACTCGAGGCATTGATTATACACTGGTCAACAAAAAATAAACATTTTTTTCTGGCCAGGGCTTTTGCAGCTGTTTTAGACTAATTTCAGGGTGCTGATTCCAAATCTGATCTCAGATTTGTTCTATCACATCTCATTTTTATGCTATCGGCATACCCCATTTTCATTGATTTTACCCGAAATTAACTCTGTCACTTATGATTGCAAGTTGTTGCGAGTCAGTGACTGCTTTAGTGTTAAAATATGGTGTTGTATCTCAAAAACCTGATGTGATAGACAAAAACTGATGCCAGATTTGGAATCAGCACCTCAAAATTACCTTAAAACCGTTGGAATATCTTATGCCAGAAAAAGTATGTTGACCAGTGAATTATTTTAATTGAACGGTATGATTTGGTTTCATTTGGACGGAGCGGTGGGGCAGCGGTTAGCGCACTCGCGCTTGGAACTCAGCTACCTGGGTTCGATTTTCGGCCACAGTCAACACCTTCACCTATTTTGGGTCATCCACAGCTCATTTCCTTCCCAAACCCGCATTGACCACCGTGGTGAAGTATGGTCAAACCCAATCCATATTGACCGATGCTCCCACATAAAGGGGGTGGGGGGGGGGTGGTGTGGTGTCTTCATCCACCGTCTCGCCGTAGCCTCCTGTGCAATATTTCTTGAGGACCCTGTTACTAGTTCACTGCAATATTGATGATTTTTTTAGTTTCTATTTTGTTGCTGCTGGGCTTATAACAAAGCCGGGAAACTGGCGAAACGGGGGAACCAACACATCAAATAAACCCACCCTTAGACGGGGGCTGCAATTCGTTTTATTTCCCTTACATAATAACCAAGCCGCACTGCACTGACCCATCACGTTGAAGTATGGTCAAACCCCAGCACCCATCCCCCCTCCCTCCTCCCATGAGCGACCAAAACACGGCGTGGCGGAGGTGTTCATCCAGCAGCGGGGTTGATTTAGAGGGCTATTGCCTGTCAATGATCGCTCTTTTCTCATTTTTTTTTTTTGGCCAACACACAAAAAAAAAACTAATATTGTAACCAACATGAGAGCGAGCGAGCGAGCGTGGTGGCGGTGCAAGGCGCGCCGGGCTGGGCACAGATAAAAACGAGCGCTTCAATTCACGCGAGCAATGAGCAGTGCTGCTGCTGATGGTTGCTGATGCCCGGTGCGGATGCTGATGAAGATGCAAGTCTCAATTTATCCGCCTCCGATCGAGTTGTTGTTGTTGGTGGTGGTGGTGGTGGTCCCGGTGGTGGTGTCACGACGACTTGGTCATTATGGATGTCAAGGTGGGTTCACGACAACTGATGGAACGGCGCGTGGCGCTCTCAGCAATCCGCACGCACCATCCGCACTGTATAAGGAGTCTCTACTGTAACGGGATGTGTGTGATGTGAGTGTGCGCTTGTGTGTGTGTGTCCTTGATGAGTGTGTGTGTGACGGGTGAAGTTGGGTTTGTGATGTGTGTGATGTGAGTGTGCGCGTGTGTGTGTGTCCTTGATGAGTGTGTGTGTGTGACGGGTAAAGTTGGGTTTGTGATGTGTGTGATGTGAGTGTGCGTGTGTCCTTGATGAGTGTGTGTGTGTGACGGGTGAAGTTGGGTTTGTGATGTGTGTGATATGAGTGTGCGCGTGTGTATGTGTGTCCTTGATGAGTGTGTGTGTGTGACGGGTGAAGTTGGGTTTGTGATGTGTGTGATGTGAGTGTGCGCGTGTGTGTGTGTCCTTGATGAGTGTGTGTGTGACGGGTGAAGTTGGGTTTGTGATGTGTGTGATGTGAGTGTGCGCTTGTGTGTGTGTGTCCTTGATGAGTGTGTGTGTGTGACGGGTGAAGTTGGGTTTGTGATGTGTGTGATGTGAGTGTGCGCGTGTGTGTGTGTCCTTGATGAGTGTGTGTGTGTGACGGGTAAAGTTGGATTTGTGATGTGTGTGATGTGAGTGTGCGTGTGTGTGTGACGTCTGAAGTTGGGTTTGTGATGTGTGTGATGTGAGTGTGTGGCTGTGGTATGGAAGTGTGTGTATGTCTGTGTGATGTGTGTGATGTGTGTCTGTGTTGTGAGTGTGTGTTTTAACGTGTGATGTTGGTTATGAGTGTGTGATATGTGCCACGTGAAGTGGGTGTATGATGTACGTTTGATGTGTGTGTGATGATTGTATTGAGTGTCTGTTATGAATGTGTGCGTGTCTTTGATGAGTGTGTGTGACATGTGAAGTGGGTGTATAATGTGTGTGTGTGATGTATGTGTGTTTGTAATGTGCGTGTTTATATAACATGTGGAGTGTGTGTCCGTTAAGAATGTGTGTGTGTGTATTGAGCGTGCGATGTGTTTTTGCGTGATGTGAAATGGGTGTCTGTATGTGTAATGAGTTGTGTGATGATTGTATTGAGTGTGTGCGTGTCTGTGTTATGAGTGTGTGATGTGGGTGTGTGATGTGTGTTTGTGATAGAAACTCGGGTGATGCTGATAGGCCAGTTGTCGATATCGATTATGATAATAGCGATGATGACTATAATGATTATGATAGCGCCCAAGTGATGAATTTGCATTGAAGGCTATTTTATAATTAATTGTAGTCGTAACGAATTATTGTGGCGATGATTTTGATGGGAACTACGTACAATGAAAATCGTAACCTCGATATTTAATCATTCTCGAATTAAGATTGCTTTCGATAGTGATTTTGATACGCAACGATGGCCCACAGTGATGATGATCATCACTTGCGATGACAACACACTGATGATCATGACCCTTGGCGATGATCAATAAATGCATTGACGACCACGCGCTACAACGGATAACGGTGCCTTGCAGTAAGTTGGGCCATTTACACATCAGAGTGATTGTGATAATCAATTAAATGACATTGATAACGATGATTATGAGTGACTAATGATAACGGCGATGCTAACATTAATTGATTTGACTAATTATACTGATGATAATGATGTCATCAAATAACTAATCACTAATAATGATGACTAATGACAATGGTTTAATTAGTTCTAGTGATGATTATAATGACGACGACGACGACTAAACGATAACGACTTACAAATTACAAAGTCGGTCACGACGACTTAGAGTCATCACGCTGACGACAATGACAATGGCATTCCAATGTCATACGGTAATGACGCTTTGCACACACACACACTAACAAACTCTCCTAGCAAAGCACAGTGACAGGGACGGGGACTATGCTCCCACGTCTGCTTGTGCATCAGCAGCAGCAGCAGCACCACATTCAGCAGCCAAGGCGACTGTAATACAGTGCAAAGGGAAGCTGTGTCTGGCAGCCAGGATATATTGAGCCAATAGTGCAATAGCGCAGAGCCAGGATAAGGCGAGGGGAGGGGGTGGTGGGGAGGGAAGAGTGGAGGGGGGGGGGGTTCTGCTGCTGGTGGTGGTGGTGCTGGTGTGAATGCGTCTGGGTCTATGATGAGAGGGGTGGGGGTATAGGGGCTGGTGGTGCCTGGAGGGGGTGGGGGTAGTGGTGGATGCCATCGGATGATGCGGTCATGATCATAGGGCTTGGGTCTGGGGGGGGGGGTAGCGAGTGGACAGTTCAGAGCTTTCTGCCACCCTCCCCCCCACCTCCATCCCCCCACCCCGCCCCCCTCCCGTTTTTATCTCATCCCATCTCACTCCACATCCCAGCAGCGACGCTTGCCTCCTGATCTCAGCTCCGTTGTGTTTAGAGGTCGCCTGTGCAGTTTGGTCTTAGAGGAGGGGAGTTCGGGGGGGGGGGAGTTGGGGGGAGGGGAGTTGGGGGGAGGGGAGTTGGGGGGGGAGTTGGGGGAGGGGAGTTGGGGGGGGGAGTTGGGGGGGGAGTTGGGGGGGGAGTTGGGGGGGGGGGAGTTGGGAGGGGGAGTTGGGGGGGGAGTTGGAGGGGGGGGGAGTTGGGGGGGGAGTTGGGGGAGGGGAGTTGGGGGGGGGAGTTGGGGGGGGGAAGTTGGGGGGGGAGTTGGGGGGGGAGTTGGGGGGGGAGTTGGGGGGGGAGTTGGGGGGGGAGTTGGGGGGGGGAGTTGGGGGGGGGAGTTAGGGGGGGAGTTGGGGGGGGAGTTGGGGGGGAGTTGGGGGGGGAGTTGGGGGGGGAGTTGGGGGGGGAGTTGGGGGGGAGTTGGGGGGGGAGTTGGGGGGGGGAGTTGGGGGGGGAGTTGGGGGGGGGGAGTTGGGGGGGTTGGGGGGGGGAGTTGGGGGGGGGGAGTTGGCGGGGGGGTTGGGGGGGGAGTTGGGGGGGGGGGTTGGGGGGGAAGTTGGGGGGGGGAGTTGGGGGGGGAGTTGGGGGGGGGGGAGTTGGGGGGGGGGAGTTGGCGGGGGGGTTGGGGGGGGAGTTGGGGGGGGAGTTGGGGGGGGGTTGGGGGGGAAGTTGGGGGGGGGGAGTTGGGGGGGGAGTTGGGGGGGGGGGAGTTGGGGGGGGGGAGTTGGCGGGGGGGTTGGGGGGGGAGTTGGGGGGGGAGTTGGGGGGGGGGTTGGGGGGGAAGTTGGGGGGGGGGAGTTGGGGGGGGAGTTGGGGGGGGAGTTGGGGGGGAGTTGGGGGGGGAGTTGGGGGGGAGTTGGGGGGGGAGTTGGGGGGGGAGTTGGGGGGGAAAGTTGGGGGGGGGGTTGGGGGGGGGAGTTGGGGGGGGGGGTTGGGGGGGGAGTTGGGGGGGGAGTTGGGGGGGGAGTTGGGGGGGGAGTTGGGGGGGGAGTTGGGGGGGGAGTTGGGGGGGGAGTTGGGGGGGGAGTTGGGGGGGGGAGTTGGGGGGGAGTTGGGGGGAGTTGGGGGGGGGAGTTGGGGGGGGGAGTTGGGGGGGGGAGTTGGGGGGGGGAGTTGGGGGGGGGAGTTGG